AAATCTTGTTATTATAACCTGCATCTTCAAATGTTCAACAATTCATTGGTTGATTTTGTGAAATGTTTACAGGTTCAACATAGTTCTTTGGCCAATATATAGTATCGAATGCGCATATGGAGTGTTTTTATGATCGAAATAAGCAATATTTCTAACAAACCGTGAGAAGTGATTTATACTACACGTTTATCAATTAAAGCAATATTTCGCCTGATTTTGACATATCCGAGGAAGTCATATTCATGATTCCTTGAATCGTTGTCGTAATATAACAACATTGCATTACCGTGACGTTGCTATCTGGTTTGTTATGTGCGTCGCGAAATCGTTACGTAATTAGAACTGGTTACATAAAATCAGTTTTTTAAAGGCGCGACGTTCTGCTAAATTCACACAGTTAGTGGTAAAACCGCGTCGTTTAGAGCGAAGACTGTTTTAATGGGTTTGAAAAGGTGAAGTTTTAAATCATGTTTGGGGTCGAAACGTTTGTGAAATAAAAAAAAAAACACTGCTTAGATATAAACACTTTTTTCTTCTAAACTGTCTAAAGCAATAATAATATCGACAGGATATTCTCGAATGTACACTTTAATAAAGTATATGTTTCTAACGACATGATTTGAAATAACAAACAATCTAATTCTAACGAGTGCACGATAAACAGACAGCTCTTCGTGCAATCTATTACTACTCGTATCGCCGCACACACTTTCACACACTTGCTATCACACGGCCATGAAACGTGGTCTGCATATCACAATTGTGGTCGATGATCTTTGAAATAGCAAATATTTAACTTTCCGGCATATTCACCAACGTAACTTTAATTCACCCAGGAAATTATTTTAAATTAAGAGCAGCTTTTATATTACACTCTCGCGAATGTTGTATACATAATTACTCTTTGTGAACAACTTCTTACAAAGCCATAAATAAGTTGCTTACTTGTCTCTCTCGTCAGTCATTTTTGTTTTTCTGAGTTTTTCCTCGAAAAGATGCGTAATTCTTAATAGTGGGTTAAAACTTCGGTAAAAGTTATTTTTATCTTTAAAACCATTGAATCAATTGTCTTTAAACGGTCCACATTCTTTTCATATTTATTAAAACATTTGTTTTAAATTAACCCAAAGACGATTCTAGTTTTAGGCTGAGACTATGAAAGAGAGAAACGCCATCATTCGGCCCTTGTATACATTCAGAGAAACGAGAACAAAGTTACCAAGGACATTATACGTGCATTTCAATTCATTAAACGGTCGTACGCATATGTGACACCGCGAGTTCCAGGACCGCGTGATATATAATTTTACAGAATTTTTAAAAAGAATTAGAAAGACTGAAAATCTGCTCGAATTGGTTACTAAAACTTAACCTGAATTTATTCATCTCTTCGTTTATTAGTGCGCCGCCATGCGACCAACACAAATAAAAACATCTTTTAGTGCGCCCTCACATGTCAAACATAAAAAACATCAACACCCAAGATGGCTGCCAGCCCAGGTCGTAGTGGCCAGAGAGCATTCGCACAGAAACTAAACAGGTAAATGACAGGCATTACAATCCTGAACGTGTTTAAAATAAGACAAAGTGAGATGATATAATGACATGTTGTCATTGATATGCATTTAGTCTAGTTCGTCGCCTACGGGGAAGTGCTGTTTGTCAATTGATTTTTTGTCGGTCGCTCCTTAGATGAGTCAATGTTTGGAATTTGCCGCCGATTTGACAGTATTTTCAAAGACAAATCTACGTCATTGATTTCCAAAACATTTCTTGATAAGATAACTTGCATTGTATACAGACTACAAATAATAACATCTTTTATCCAAACACCTTAATCGTTGCCCTGAAAAAGTGCCGAACCTCGGGCCAAACTCAAGAACTTTCAAGAAGAAGGGACGAAAGCTTGCCTGCAGCGGGGCCGCAGTTCCGTAGATCTTGGTTTCGCTGTAGTTTACTGTACCTCCGACGATAAAAGAACAGGGAACTTAGAGCTGTAATTGCAGCTTTGCTGTTATTACCGTCATGTAAACAACATCAGGGCTTTCATTAAAATAGCAGTTTCTGCGTCCCGTGAAGTGCAACGGCAAGCTGAGGTTGTGCTACAATGAAGAGTAAAAAGACCACTGACAAATGATAATATAGTCGTCCCACTTAGTAAACTATTGCTGAAAGTTCTGTAACTTAATGTCACTGTACATCATCTAAGAGAATAACCAGAAGGCAGATTTCATTAATAATAAGTTAACAGGCTAACTCTCCAGTGCATATGTTTATAGTTCCCCTGTTGTGGAGTATGACAGGGGAGCTAATAATATATTAATCATGATATAAATTGTTTTTTCTGTCTAGGCTAGAGTATATGTGGTTCTGCTCACTATATGCCTTTCTGATTGCATCTAGGCATTATGATAGTTATTATTGTTGTTTGATTGTGGTCATTTATTGAGGCCGCCAGCATTGACAAGTTTGCTTGATTTTATTTTTACCAATTACATGTATGTTTTTGTTCAACAATTTTCACAAGTAACATATGCAAGCCAAATTAATTAATTTTTTTTACAGGGCTTCTTTTTTGTTTACAAATTAAATTAATATTTGTTCATAGCTATTAGCTAATAATGTTTGTACAATGGCTGTCTAAATTGGCCAGCGGTCATTCTAAAATTCCAGCTTGGTATATGCATTTACCAATTAAAATACCAACAATTAACTAATGTATGACTAGGTGACAAGTTGACTACAAACTAAGCTACTAATGACAACAATTTGCTTAGATGAAACTTAACAATTCACAACAGCAGTGGTACGAATTAGTTGAATCACTTTACGATTACGACACATAAACCACTTGTGCTGCACACTTAAGGTTTATATAGCGTAACCATCATATAACTGTCATTTAACTTGTACATACTTGTATTTCTTTCCTAGATCGCAACAAGCAGCCGATATCCGAAGACAGGTTTCTACTCTGTCACAATATTCCACGATTCCAAAAGAAGTACCTCGTAGTGTCAGTGCAACTACGATAAGCACCAATGTCAGTAGCGCTGCTTCTAGTCCCACCATTGCTGGGCAGGTAATTTTGTAAACATTAAATTAAATCTCAGTCGTTATTATTTCACTCCTATCGATGTTTGCCGTCTGATGATTTAAGTGCTTTCACATGGCTTCATGTCCTAATGACCCTATTGAAATTTTACTTGAGTTTCCAAAATTATGGAAATTTCTATCTCACAAGAGAAATTAGTGTGGTTAACAATATTTAAAGTGGGGGAGTAGTCACCCACGTATGCGTCAGATGGCCATAGTGTATCATTGTTTACAGTTTACCCATGAGCCTTTGCGTACGCAGATGATCACCCTCCTGCTTTAATGGGAGAAAGTTAATACAAATTTTGAAATTTAGTAACAGCGAAAATTCACTAGAGTTCTGTTACAATGTTCATTACATGTAGTCCCAGTTATTGCTGTCCAGTTATCAGATCATTAAAACATCTGGCAACAAAAATAGTTGATAGGTACACAAGATAATTTGTAAAATATAATTTTTTGGACATTTTCATCTGATTTTTTTTCATCAAAGCCTGTAGCTCATGGAATAGTATGTCCATTTGGTCCAAAACTAACCAAAAAATTGAAGAAAAATTTAAAAATATGTTGAACCAAAATAATGGCAGAAAAACGAATGGATTTTGAGTAGAAATATGAACATGCATACATGTGTATTTATCATATTGCGATAAAACATTAACTGACAAACTAGAAATCATGATAAATAATTAAGAATAATATATATTTATGAATTTGAAAGGTGCCGATATGGGAAGTTGTTGATCCCCCTGATTTTGAGGACTTCCTTCAGCAGCGGGCGGCTCAAGTGGAAGTTGACCAGTTACGTGACCTCCTATATTTCCCAGATGATGACCTTGAGGTTGGCTATTTACGACGTCAATATCGTACTGTGAAACCAATTGTTCCAGATGACAAGTAAGCAGTTTTTTTTGAATGCCAACATTTTATTGTATTTATATGTATTTTTCTATAATTTTTGTTGTTGTTTCTATCTGTTATTTTGCAGATTTATTTTGTAAAATTTATTTTGGTGTTCAACAAGTGTGTCAACATTTTTAGTAATATCATACTGTGTGTGTAAGAATTTAGTTTTTGTTGTTGTAGATCGTCTGAATATCCGTTACTGAAAATGCTACATATCATAACAGTAGTTGTGCAAAAGACAGATCTTCACGAATTTGGCAACGCATGAATAAATACCAAATTCCGCTTTTTCTTGCAGGAAATTTTAGTCTTTATGAACACTCACACTTTGTCCAATAAAGATAATTTTGGTATACGGCCTTGTGAGACGTAGACTGAAATTGGAATTTGTGTTTCAGCTTTCATCATGCATGTATCTATGCAAAATCATTTCTCAGATGTGCATAGGCCAATTTTGTTCATAGTTGGTACCATGACAACACATAATTTTGTAATTCAGCCAAATACAAATTGATACAATGATTTGTTTCACAGATACTTTGTTTCTTTTTTCTCAGCCATTTAGATTCTCATGTTCAAGACTGCATACGTGCGTACACCTCAGATTGGTGTATTTATCATCGTCATTATCAACAGTTTGTTACTATACATGGAACTGATAGACCTAGAGAACGTGAGCTGACGTTGAAATCACTACCCAAGCAGACATTTGAAGTTGATGAACTGCCTGACTTAGAACTTCAGCATCAGGTATGTTCACTCCAGTTGATTTCTATACATTATTATCAAACTATTGTACAAATAATACAACTTGTGTTTGGTGGTCGTTGTCAATGTCGTTGTCAATGAAGTACTGTACGAACGATACACCTAATGTTGGGAGGTCGTTGTCAATGTCATTGTCAATGAAGTACTGTATGAACGATACACCTAATGTTTGGTGGTCGTTGTCAGTGTCATTGTCAATGAAGTACTGTACGAACGATACACCTAATGTTTGTTGTCAATGTCATTGCCAATGAAGTACTGTACGAACGATACACCTAATGTTTGGTGGTCATTGTCAATGTCATTGTCAATGAAGTACTGTACGAACGATACACCTAATGTTTGATGGTCGTTGTCAATGTCATTGTCAATGAAGTACTGTACAAACGATACACTTAATGTTTGGTGGTCGTTGTCAATGTCATTGTCAATGAAGTACTGTACTAACGATACACCTAATGTTTGGTGGTCGTTGTCAATGTCATTGTCAATGAAGTACTGCACGAACGATACACTTAATGTTTGGTGGTCGTTGTCAATGTCATTGTCAATGAAGTACTGTACGAACGATACACCTAATGTTTGGTGGTCGTTGTCAGTGTCATTGTCAATGAAGTACTGTACGAACGATACACCTAATGTTTGTTGTCAATGTCATTGCCAATGAAGTACTGTACGAACGATACACCTAATGTTTGGTGGTCATTGTCAATGTCATTGTCAATGAAGTACTGTACGAACGATACACCTAATGTTTGATGGTCGTTGTCAATGTCATTGTCAATGAAGTACTGTACAAACGATACACTTAATGTTTGATGGTCGTTGTCAATGTCATTGTCAATGAAGTACTGTACTAACGATACACCTAATGTTTGGTGGTCGTTGTCAATGTCATTGTCAATGAAGTACTGCATGAACGATACACTTAATGTTTGGTGGTCGTTGTCAATGTCATTGTCAATGAAGTACTGTACGAACGATACACTTAATGTTTGGTGGACGTTGTCAATGAAGTACTGTACAAACGATACACCTAATGTTTGGTGGTCGTTGTCAATGTCATTGTCAATGAAGTACTGTACAAACGATACACCTAATGTTTGGTGGTTGTTGTCAATGTCATTGTCAATGAAATACTGTACGAACGATACACCTAATGTTTGGTGGTCGTTGTCAATGTCATTGTCAATGAAGTACTGTACGAACGATACACCTAATGTTTGGTGGTTGTTGTCAATGTCATTGTCAATGAAGTACTGTACAAACGATACACTTAATGTTTGGTGGTCGTTGTCAATGTCATTGTCAATGAAGTACTGTACGAACGATACACTTAATGTTTGGTGGTCGTTGTCAATGTCATTGTCAATGAAGTACTGTACAAACGATACACCTAATGTTTGGTGGTTGTTGTCAATGTCATTGTCAATGAAATACTGTACGAACGATACACCTAATGTTTGGTGGTCGTTGTCAATGTCATTGTCAATGAAGTACTGTACGAACGATACACCTAATGTTTGGTGGTCGTTGTCAATGTCATTGTCAATGAAGTACTGTACGAACGATACACTTAATGTTTGGTGGTCGTTGTCAATGTCATTGTCAATGAAGTACTGTACGAACGATACACTTAATGTTTGGTGGTCGTTGTCAATGTCATTGTCAATGAAGTACTGTACGAACAATACACCTAATGTTTGGTGGTCGTTGTCAATGTCATTGTCAATGAAGTACTGTACGAACGATACACCTAATGTTTGGTGGTCGTTGTTAATGTCGTTGTCAATGAAGTACTGTACGAACGATACACCTAATGTTTGGTGGTCGTTGTCAATGTCGTTGTCAATGAAGTACTGTATGAACGATACACCTAACGTTTGGTGGTCGTTAAAACTTTAAAACTAATCTTGTTTTATTTATGTTTGATGAGAGCCACAGTAAGAAGCTAATTATTTAATTCAAAATAATGACCATGGCAAAGTGTTCCGCCACTGAAAGCAGAATCACACACCACTACACCATACTAATGGCGCTTAAATATATTTTTACTGAACTCAGACTCAAAGTAACTATAACATTTTGGGTTGAACCAGGGAGTTTTAAAAAAAAACATAGAAAGAAGTTTTTAGTCTCTTACCGGATTCTGTCGTAAATTCGCCCTGGGTCGTTAAACGGCGATTTGGGCATCTTTTCAGCATTATTTCAGATGTTCTCTTTAATATTTTGGTATAATTTATCGGACATTTAAATTCCTGATGCCTAAAATAGAGTCTAATTTAAGTTTTACCGTAGTCATTGACGCCTATTCAAGAGTATGATGTTTATTGTGACTAGCGTGAATGGGTGAGCTTCTTTTCTTCAAATGCTCAGTTCATCTTTTGAAAACAACTAATTTGTAATTTTTTGATTTAAAAAAAAAAATCATGCTGTTTTTTCATCAAAATCGAAGCAATAAGATTGTCTTACAACATCGACTAATCTCTTCTGTGTTCCGTTCAGTAACATTACCATATTTAAATGAGCTGTGGTACTTTGAACACGTTGACATCATCAATCATTTTGATTGGTTAATTAACACATTGACCTGTCAGGTCAAAGAACACCGTTTAATTAATATACAACTGGAATACGATGAAACTAAGTTGAAATTTATTTGCATTTCATCAATTCAACAAATTTTTTTTTGTACGTTAATATATCTTTTAGAATTTACGTTCATTACTAATAAAAAAAAAAATTTAATTTGGTGTACCAGGTTCGTTAATGTGACCTTTTTTTGGAGAAAGATGTCACTGGGTGACATTGTAATGAAACTTTGAACACAACACTAGGTGATTTTTTGGATGGGTCAATTTATGGCAGAATCCAGTATATAAGTCTTTAACATGTTAATTGGGTCATGACTACATAAAAGTTGGGAATTCAGAAATTACATGTATTCTGTTTTTTTACCTCAATATTTTTAGATGCATATTAAATACAACTATATGCAATATAGCATTTACCATAGTTGCTGCATTTGGTACATGACACTTATATCGCCTATATGTCAAGTGCTTCCAATAAAATGTAAAAATAAAAAACAACTTTTGATTCAGGAGGAGGTGACCAAGAGACGTTCAATTCACATGGACAGTACACCACGAGGCAGCTGGTCATCAAGTATCCATGATTTGCAAAACTCTGAAGCTGATCAGATTCTTCCTAATTTATTAGAACATGTGCCGCCAGATGAGCAAGATAGACTGAATGAAGAAATGAGGAGAATACATCGGCAAGATAATCTCTTTGGTATATATCAGCTGACTGAAGAAGTGAGTTGGATATTACTGTGTTTACAACATGTCTGAATATTTCTAGTCAGACAGTCAGTCACCTACTAGCCTTGGTAGTTAGCAACATTGCTAGCCCCTTTGCTGATTGGTTTATTGCACATGATTTCGCCTGTTAACGTGTTTTACACTTCATGTGTGCCCTGTGGATAAAATGACATATGACATATCTCTGGATACAATTTGGCAACATTGAGAATTGATCGATTTATGATAAAATACAATCAGTATAAATTAATGTGACTCACTTATATGTTGCTATGCATTGTATGGGACCCATGTTAGACTAACGCCACATGGTCGGCAACGTGTATGTAATTTGAACCATGTTTTGTTTTATTCTCAGGAAGGTGGAATTGAAAGGAGAGCATCAGCTGATATGCCCAGGGAATATTTTGGCCACAGATTGTTAGTAAAATGTCTTACTCTAAGGTAAGTTATTCTGATATGCAATTTGTGAATGGATTTTCTGACTTGCTGCCCTGTTACAGAATTATGTATTTCTCAGAATCACGATACAAGTAACATCTGGAGTTTTTTGGAAAATTAGGTTTTATTGTTGAACCAATCAAATGCAATCTTGCAATTGTAATAATTCTTACGTACATGTAGCTAAAATGTGGTTCTGTAAACTTTTACATTGAATCAAATTGGCTAAAATCAAACTATTTCAAAGTGTTTTACTACATTTCCATCAATCCCTCTACCGGTATTTGCTATAGCAACCCAATTCGATTGCTAATAGAAACTGTTGGAAAATTTGGTTATTCAGAAAAGTGACTGAACAAGTACAAACCACTAATATGTACAACAACATGTGGGTTTGAATCAATTCAATGCAACAATGGTACAGAGGAGTATCCTGTTACCCATGGTTTTGTACACATACTTAGTGACTTGTTAGCAAGAACCAGTCATTTGAATATGAAGATAAAATAAAATATAATAATTAACATTTAATGAGTCAAAACAAATTATGGGCAACATTATCACAGGAGATTTTAAAATAGTGCTGATTACTGATCATCCTGTGTCAATATCTACAAATCCTGGTCTTGTCTGTTGCAGATTTGAAATTGAGATTGAACCAATTTTTGCTGTGATGGCACTGTATGATGTAAGGGAGAAAAAGAAGGTAAACTCGCTATTTTTCTACTTGA